AACAAATAGTATATATATATATATATATATATATATATATATATATATATATCAAATAACTTTTTAGCTCGAGACCTAACTTGTAGTGCTTTATTTATTAGCAAACAAAGGAAACCTACCTTGTAGTTATCAAGTAGTTGCACCTCCTATGTCGAATAAAATCGTTCATAGATGATCATGCATGTTGACCATTTGGCAGGTTTTGTTGCATATTATCCATGCTTCCATATCCATACAATAAATTTTTACAAGGCTACTAGATACCCTAGCGGCCTGGGGAATAACACTGTTAATTCTTCAGTTTTTGAGGCTTTTGGAGCATATTGACAGACAGAGTCAGCTCATAGTTTCTTTTTTCTTTTTCTTTTTCTTTCATATATATATATATATATATATATATGTTTTATTTTAAGGCTTATGAGGAGACATGAATGTGTGTATTTTACAAAGATATTTAAATAGTAATCAAATTTTAATATATACTTTTTTATGCTATATATTATTTTTATATACATCTACATTTCCTGATTGACCCCTCTCAATTTATGAATGATTACGTAAAAGAACGCGTGGCTCCGTACTAATGAATCTAGTCACTCTAGTTGTTGTTGAATGGAGGGTCCCTTTCAAATAGCGTACAGATAAAAAAAAATTAGAACCCCCACTAACAATACATCATTTGTGTAATGAAGTGATAATTGGACGAAAGCACCAAACGAATGGCCTATGACTATGAGATGATTATGCTTAGGGAAGGACCATTAAAGCAAACTCATTCGACATGAATCATCCAAAGAAAATATATTAACTAGTACAAATTACAAAAGCAAATAAAGGGGGTTGTCTTTGCATTAGTCCCAAGAGGAAAAAGAAAATATATTGCTTGCTCACTATTCTGAAGAAACGCTTTGGAAAAATATTAAAGAGGAATCTTCTTTTGGCCAACTTTTGACATTTTAACGTTACATATTATCATAGGAGCATACGCTAGACACGTACTCCAATTCCAATGTGTATGTTAGTGGCCATTATATATGGCCCAATCAATCTTAAAAAAAAATATATGGCCCAATCAGATTACTTTTCCTCATGAGGAATGGGAATGGGGCCAATGTACATATGACACCTCAAATTATTCTTACCATTACAAGAAAGTGGTGGACCTTGCAACCATGAATAGATAGATATACATTGTTGTTTATGTAGACCTAAAGTACGAATCACATTTCGAGAAAAATCCAAATCTCATATAAATTAGTGATAAAATAATTAAAAAAATATATAAGTGAAGAATAATTCTCACTTTATAAGTCAATTTTGTATAATTAACTTATATTCAAATCCATTATTATAAAATGATATAAGATATATCTTAAATCATTAAAAAAAAGTCACATATCCTAGATTATTAAAAATAATCAGCTATCATTTATCCACGTACTAAATCCAATAATGCTAAACATGAAGGAGTCGATTTTGTAGAGTTGAGTTAGACTCAAATCTATTATTCTAAGACCACATATCAAATTGAAACTTGATTATGAATATAAACCTTAAAGATATGTGATTTTGCAATTTTTAAGGATATACCTACGTGTTTCTCAAGGTTTTTTTTTTTTTTTTTTTTTTTTTTTTTTTTTAATTTAACAAGTTTCTTTCAATATAATTGAGAAAATAAATTCAACTTTTTTTTAGATAATTTTTTTTGTATTACTTGTCACGATGAATTCATAATGCATTGTTGGTTTGTCGAAGTAATTGCCAACTTGTCTTTGATAATTGCAAATTTATTACCTTATAAAACATATTTTGACGCTTAATAATGTTACTGGTGAAAATAAGATATATTAAATGTACACATACTACATTTAAATTGAATTTGAGTATCTTAAATAAAGTCTTTAAATATACATGTGCTATATATATATATATACATATATATATATATATATATAGGAGGGTTC